CCTCCTGTAGAGTAACATGCCCGGCTTAACCTACTCTGAGTTTCTTAGCAAGCGTGGGGGGGACCCATCCGACTCCAGGTCAACCTCGCCTCGTCGTCGCGCCGCGACGGGGGTCGGAGCGCCCTTGGCGCGCGGTGGCTGCCCGCGACGGGGGTCGATGTGGGGCTGTCGGCGGGGGCGACACCCCCCCGACGCTTATTAAGAAACTCGGAATAGATTTACGCCCGCAGGAACCCTCTCGGGGCCAACCTCGGCCAATCTATGGCGCTTTTCGGAGGCCTCCCGGGCCCGTCCTCGAGGCCCTGGGCACGGGCCCGCGAGTCCCCGAATCGGCTGAATCCCACCGCTGACGCACAGTCTCGTCACATCGGTCGCGGGAGCGTGCGAGGCGGCCCAAGAAGACACCAAGGCAAGCGCAAGATGGCCTCCCTGAGGCCCCCAAGAAGGGCCCAACACGTCCCCAAGATGGCCCAAAAGGACCTTAAGTGCAGCACCGCCGCCCTTCCTCCTCCTCCTCCTCCTCCTCCTCCTCTTCTTCTTCTTCTTCTTGGTATTATCATTATTAGAATGATTATTATTATGACTATTATTACTATAGTACGTCGTCTCCTTATTATTCGTATTATCGGTATTGATATTATTATTTCTATAGTGCTGTTATTACGATTCGTCTTCGTATTACTATTGTTCGTACTATTCTTAATATTCTTAATATGATAATTACCAGTATTGTTAGTAGTATGTGTTTATTATTATTCGTACTCCTCCTCCTCCTGGCCCCCTCGCTCTGACTTTGATGCTGCTACTCCCCGTCTCCTCATTCTCCCCATCCCCGGATTATCTTCTGGTAAGGGGGGAGCCCGCTAAAGAAATGCCGCAAGCATCGACCGGCACTACCTGCGCACCGACCTGCGCAGCTACCTGATTGCGCAGCCAGCCTTCTGTACTGCCTCCCTTACTTGGGGAGCACATTGCTTGTCTTGCCTCCCCTACTCAGGTAGCACTGCTTCTTGCCTCCCCTGCTTGGGGAGGACCCTGGAACGGCAGAGGAGGACGCGAGGAAGGAAAGAAGGAGGGGGGGACTCGAGGGCACGACGGAGGCGGATGTGTACTATAAAAAAGTCGCCCTCCAACACGAACCCAAGAGGAATCCAAGAAGCATCCAAGAGTCCCACAGACGCTCCCAGACGTACTAAGTGAGCCAAGTGAGCGACAAAGGCCCTCATGAGCCTCCCAGAAGAGGCCCCAAGAGCCGCCGAAATATCCAAGAAGGTCTCTGGAGCCCGACCCAATGCCCTCGCATTGAAGCCGCCACTATCCCTTGCCTCCAGCCTTCTTCGGCCACTTGCGCACAAGCTGTTCCCTTGTCACAGTTCGCGGAAGCGGCCGTCAGGCCTGTGCAGTACTTCACGAAGCATGAGAGCAGAAACGAATAGGCCACAAGATCTGCCAGGCTCACCCCTGGTGAAGAACCAGACGCCGACTGCACCAGCGATGGTGCACTGGCCCACGGCGACCATGAAGGCATGGTGCCAGAAGAACGAGAAGACGGAAAACCAGAAGCGATAGTCGACTGCATACCGAGGCTGGTAGCACATCCACGCTCCACTCTCACCGTCCAGGTAGAGGCCTCCTTCGGGCCACATCCCGTCCACACAACTAGCACCCGCTGACACATGCTGGCCGCAGCGTCCCAGGCGTGCGAGGGCAGCGCTTTACCTGATGATGCTGCCTTCAGGCAGAGCGTGATTATTACCGCGGAACGCGCCAAACAAAACATCCTAACCATTAGGCGGCAGCAGACGAGTCCAGAGAGGCATGCGAGGTCGACACAGGACAGCCACTTCAGGCCAGGACCATCGCAAACATGGTCCGAGTCGGTCCACCTTCGAGCAGACTCCAGCCACGGCTGCTTCAAGAAGTAGTCCATTAGCAGCGAACGCTGTCTCATCGAAATCTCACTACAGCGAATGTGCTATCGGACAAAGGAGCTGTCATAAAGGGGGAGTTGTTGGATACTTACTGTTTGGGCACTCGCTGGGTGGGACGGGTTCCATCGGAGGGTTTGTCGGGCAACGTGGACGGATCTGGCCTGCCTGAAGCCCAGAGCTCGCAGATCATATCCGCTGGAATCCGCAACCCCGCCAAGCCACGCCGACTTCTAGGCCCACGTTTCCTGGCGACTGCGCTCAAGGCGAGAACTCCGCCGCTCCTCTGCTACGCTACCCTTTCCCTCCCATATAGACGTAAAACTTGTAAGGGACGAGGCAAAACAGAGAGGGTGGGAAGTGGATGGACTGACGCGAGTATGCTACGGGACACTAAGCCTCATAGCCGATGGGTGCCTGGAGGGGCCGACCCACCTCAGCAAGGAGTTCCCACGAAGGTAGCAGCATCGTGTGCCCCAGCAGAGAACACCCACACACGCTGCTCCAGCGAAAAGTTTGGGGCGCTGCGGGCGCGCTGCCGGGAGGCGTGCCAATACGCCTTGTCGTAGCTGTCAAAAGCCGTGGTGGTGTCGACGTAGTCGTCTGGCACCTATGCCAAACTCCCCACTTGATTCACACACGCACACACACACACACACACGCACGCACACGCACACACACTTTCGGGCGCACGTGGTGGGGGCGGAGAAACCACTCGGACTTTCGGAACACACACGCACACATACACAATTTTGGTCGTCGGCGAAAGGGCAGGGAACGCCTACAGCCGCAGCAAACTTACCACCTGGCGTTGCAAATTGGGGGTCAGGACGTGCCTGACACATGCGGATAAAAACCGCAGAAGCGGGTGCACGTGGAACATACCCGAGGCCACGCAAGTGCCCGTGTGAGCGGGACCACACGCAGAGATACAGGAAGATGAGAAACGCCCAAACACACACACACACAGACACAGACACAGACACACACACACACACACACACACACACACACACACACACACACGCACACACTTCCTCCGCCGGCCAGGCGGCGTCACTGTAGCGAAAACTACAACGGGCCGCAAACGAACGTGAATTCCTCAAGGCATCGCTGCGCTAGGCGAGCAAGCGTGCAAGAAAGAACGCCCAGTTTTGTGGGCGGGCGGCGCAGCCACAAAAAACAGACGCGCATGGATGCTTAGATCCGCGATCCGCCAGGAGGGCCGAGAAGGAAGCGGAAAAAACCCGACTGGAGCGCACAGTGGCCCCGCCTCACACACAAAGACACACAAAGACACACACCTACATACATAAATCCGCCGGCCCCCTTGCGGGGCCACCAGGCTGCGAGGATGAGGATCGCAGCTCCCTGTTCCAGTTGTAGCGTTCAGTCTCCATTGTTACAGTCCTGCTTTCTGCTTCCTTACTGTTAACTGCTGCTGTCCGCGCGAGGGGCGGGAGCCCGAAACGGGATTTGTTACCACGCACTGCGAAGGTTCTCAAAGTTCGTGGGGGGGGCGTGGGACACTTAAAAAGACTTGATATTCGCGTCCCCGAAATCATATTCCTTAGTAAATTACGCCATATTCGCGTCCCCGAAGCCATAAACATTCGTAAAGTCGCGTCCCCGAAGCCATAACACCCTGCAAATTACGCGATAGCTGCGTCCCCGAAGCAGTAAACCCTCGTAAATAATGCAATGCTTGCGTCCCCGACGCCATCGCAATATTCGCGCTCTCGCGGCTATAAACCCTCGTTAGTAGTTACACAATATTCGCGTCCCCGAAGCCATACAACCTAAGCCATTGTTGCGTCCTCGAGGCCATAAACCCTCGTAAGTTACGCAATGCTCTCGTGCCCGAAGCCTGCATCCCTTGTAAATTACGCAATATTCGCGCCCTCGAAGCCATAAACCGTTTGAAAATGATGCACCATTCGCAGTTGTGAAATATTCCGCAGTTTGTGAAGTCCCGACGTTTCTTCACGTCAGCGCCCAGACATCCCAACACAGCTCTGGCAAGTCCGATTCTAAGAGAGGGGGACCTGCGGCATGGGGGCGAAGCCCTTACGGATATATACATATATGCATACACACGTACGTACGTACGTACGTACGTACATACATATATACAAACATGATCGACCCACGAACCTGGAAAGGAATATAGACATGTAAGGTACGGCAACGTTTCAAAGACACCTGATTGGGCGACGAGCAAACACAATGCTGAGTGTATCGATCTTGATGTAGCGTGCCGAGGGCTGTGATGTGCAGCGACATGCTGAATTGCGATGTGCCATGCCGCGATTGTGCTCTATAGCGTTGTGGATCGAGTCCTCTTTTGCATCCGAGTCCTGACCGAACTGATCTGGATCTTAAGCTCGAGCTGCCTCAGCACATAGTAGCTGCTCCAGAGCTGATTGACATGGGGAACATGCCAGGAGGACGCGCCGCAGAACGTCCGAAGGGACGCGCCAGGCGACGTGCCAGGGGACGTGCCACGAAGACGCACCGCGGGACGTGCCGAGGGACGCGCTGCGGAACGTGTCAATGGACGTGCCACGGGACGTGCCAGGGGACGCGCCGCGCGACGTGCCAGGGGGACTCGCCACAGGACACGCCACGGAAGGTGCCAGGTTGCAATGCTGAGTGGATCGATCTTGATGTACCGTGCCGAGGGCTGTGCTGTGCTGCGCTGTGCTGAACTGCGATGTGCCATGCCGCGATTGTGCTCTGTAGCGTTGTGGATCGAGTCCTTCGTTGCATCCAAGTCCTGACCGAACTGATCTGGATCTTAAGCTCGAGCCGCCTCAGCAAATAGTAGCTGCTCCAGAGCTAATTGGCAGGGGAACATGCCAGGAGGACGCGCCGCGGAACGTCCCAAGCGACGCGCCAGGCGACGTGCCAGGGGACGTGCCACGGGGACGCACCGCGGGACGTGCCGAGGGGACGCGCTACGGAACGTTAAGATGCGTGGTCCTTGCTCGGGGCAACCATGTTAAATATCACCCTGGATGGCCTGGACACCTAAAAACACATGGTGCCAGCTCGGGAAAAGAGCCTAGGCAGCAGCACGTTGGCGCCGCCGCGGGGCCGAGGTCGTCTCCATGCTGGGGGGGGGGCAGCCAGGAGGAGAGTATGTCCTTCTCCAGCCTGCCCCCGGCGCCGCGGCTGGGGGCCGCGGCGGAGCCAGGTCGGCTCGACTCGAGCCAGAGCGGCTTGAGCCGAATGCTACGGACACACGCACGCACACACACACACACACAGACACATACACACACACACACACACACACACACACACACACACACACACACACACACACACACGCGCACACACACAAACACACAAGCGGCTCGCCACACGACATATGCACTTTTCCGACGACGGCGGCCAGGGGTGAAAAGCCAGCCCCAGCGAGTCAGGAGGTCGAGACCTCCAGGGGTCAACGTTGCGAAGAGAAACAACAAACCGAACAAACAAACAAACAAACAAGCAAACAAACAAACCAAACCAAACCAAACCAAACCAAACCAAACCAAACAAACGAACAGGCAAACGAACAAACAACGGGGAGCAGGCGTGACTGTTTCTCGTCGGGGGGGAGACAGGAAGGAGGAGGAAGGGAGCAGCGAGGAAGGGAGAGCAGGGAGTGATGAGGATGGACTGAGGGCGGAAAGGAAGAAGAAAGGAAGGAGAGCAGAAGAGGGAGGAAGGGAGCAGTTGGAAGGGCGGAGGGAGAAGAGAGAGAAGGAGAGGGAAGGAGGTAGGGATGAGGGAAGCAGAGAGGAGGGAGGCGTGAGGAGCAAGGAGGGAGGCAGGAGGGATGGTGGACGGAGGGCTGGAGGGAAGGAGGCATCGCAACGCGAGAAGTGATCGGCCCAGTGGGCGGCCGTCCCACGCCGCCCATTCCCTCACACTCTGCGCCTGAAGCCCAGGCGACGGAGCAACAGAGGAAGAGGCCTGGGTCAGCAGCAGCAGCAGCAGCAGCCAGAGCCGTCCACCTGTGACAGCAGGTACGTGCACATGAGGATCCAGATGACGGTCCAGATGCGCCGACCCCCATCTGGGAGTGAGTTCACGCAGACGGGTGGCCCCCAGGAGACGGAATGCGCGTGGGCCGAGGACACGAGCCCGTCGGGGGCGGGCTGAGCAGTGGCAGCGCTGACCTGGGTGAGCCCAGGCCGCGCCGTGAGCCCGGGCTGGCCACGCGGGAGCTCCCAGCAAGCGGAGGGCGGAGAGCGAGCGGAGGTCGGGTACGCGTCGGCCCAAGGGGATCAGAGGGGAGTGGCCGACACCCGTCAGGGCCGACCCCTCGTACCTCGTTAGAAATAAAAGCTACGACGATGGAGCGCATTTTTGGGTTGGCGGCGACAGTGGTCGTTGAAGGGGGCGGGAGGGGGAGGGGGCGGAGGCATAACGGAGCGCCCCCCACCCCCAAGACTGTGGTGCCGGACGCACTGCGGCATTGCCGAGGACGAGGGGGGGAGCGTTACGTTATGGGGGGGGATATGGGAGGGCAGGGGAGGGGAGGGGAGGGAGCATGACGCGCGTTATGGCCCAGGAGGTGAAAAAAACACTCTCATGGTTTTGCGAAGCACTGTGCAGCCATGTGTTTTCCTTCATACCAACACACATACGACATGCATGTTCAATATGCCTGCCAATGCGCCGTCAGGCCGCAGCTTATTATCATTCGCCCTTCGTATGAGTCTTACGTATAACTGACCTTCTTACTCTTTATACTACACGCCATGAACAACCGTTGTGATGAAATCGGCAACGCGATCACACCCGACAAAATCCAAACGACGACGCCGACAGGACCATTAATAAGATATCAGCCACCTCACTTTGATGTTAGACAGAGTGGACCCCAAACAGTGAAATCTTGCCATATACGCGGTGCAATCGAAGTGGTGCAATAAGCGTGGTGCAATCTAGGCGGCGCGGTCCATTTGGTGGAATCTATAGAATACAAAGCAATCCAATTTAAAGCAATGCAAAACAATGCAAAGTAATGCAAATGATTGTAACGTTTTGCAATATACTGCATCGCAAAGCAAAGTAATGCAATCCACTGCAACGCAACGCAACGCAACACCATGCAACGTAATGCGAAGCCATGCAGTGCGATAAAGCAACGCATGGCAACGCGAAGCAATGCAAAGAAATTCAAATCAATGTGAAGCAGCGCAATGGAATGCGATTGCAAAGCAGTGCAATTGCAACGCAATGACGCAAAGCAATGCGAAGTAGCACAAAGCACTACAAATCAATGAAGAGAAACGCAAAGCAATGCAAAGCAATGCAAAGCAATGCAAAGCAATGCAACGCAAAGCACTTCAAAGAAATGCAAAGCGCGGCGACGAGGCGACGAAGCGGCGACAGCAGCCACATCGGCCACATGGCCGTCACAGCGGCCCGCAGGCCCAGGCGACGGGAGACGACGGGCGGCGACGAGGCGGCGACGGCAGCCACATGGCGACCAGAGCAGCCCGCAGGCCCAGTTGCCTGCAAAAGACATGAGAAGCCCCAAGTGCAAGCGCTGGTTTGAACAGGAAGCCTCATCAGCATAAACAAATTCCTAGAAAACGAGGAAAAGCAACGCAAAGCATTGCCAACCAATACCAAGCAACGCAAAGCAACACAGCACAAAGCAATACAAAGCCAGGCACAGCAATGCAAAGCAATGCAAGTCAAGCCATGCAAAGCAAACCAATGCAAAGCAACGCAAGGCAATGCGAGGAGGCGGCGACGGGACGGCGACGGCGACCGCAAGGCGGCGGAACAGACGCGCAAATTCAGGCGACGCGCGGCGACGAGGCGGCGACGGGGCGGCGACGGCGGCCACATAGCCGCCAGACCGCCGCGCAATCCCACTCTCTTAGAAAAGAAATAAAAACCCCTACAGCAGGAGCTCGACCACAAGAAACCTCCCACAAGAAACCCAACCCTGAAACCCAGCGTGGGATCGTCACCCTTTCCATGGCAAAACCATCGAAGCCCAAGAAACCAGAGGCACCCTGGAGGCAAACAGGGTGTTTCTTGGCATGGGCATCCACCGTAAATTCAAGCAGTGAATATCCGCCTTCCAATGTTGGCAACGCACGCGGATGCGCGCCGTGGCCCGGTCATCGATAAATAGTCCTTCTCGGCGCGCGCGCGCCTCGCGGCAGCATTGAGGGGCGGATGTCACTTGAGGACCAGGTTTTCCTCGGAGTGGGTCCCAGGGAGTTCCTCCTTACAGTTTCGCTCCCAAGGTGCGAAGCCTGCCTTGCACGACACAATGCATTCGTCTGGGTGTTTCTTGCTTACTATTGACGAGCGGATGCCGCTCAATGCGAAGGGCTCCGCCCGCTCGTGTCAACAGTGCTATGGCATTCGTGCCTGGATTCCCGGACCGTTGTTGTTGCACTGTGTCGCGGGCGCACGACGCCATCGCAAGGGCGCGCGCACTCTGGAGAGGTGCGCTGTGCGCGGGCACAAATTTCGCGCCCGCGCCCCTTGCCCGCGCGCAGGCGGGCGAGATTCGCGCGCGGGCCGCCTCCCGCCCCCCTGCGCCTCGCGGCTCGCGGCCCCACGAGAAGGGTTTCCGCGCGCGCGGCGCCTTGCTCGTTCATCGCTGCGCGCGGCCCCGCGAGAAGGGCGCGCGCGCGGGGCAGCGTCGGTTCGCGGCGCGCGCGCGTGCACTGCTGTTCCTGTTGCATCGCCATTGGCACCGCTCGGTTCTGGAGCGAATGGGCGCCGCTCGTTTCTGGCGCGCCGCGGGGGTCCCATCGGGGCGGGCAGCGGCGCGCCCTGGGGTCGAGCGCATCGCAGGCGCTGGCGCCTTGCGCTTCGCCGTCGCAGACGGCGCGCGCGCTTTCCCCCGCCCTCCCTCTCCTGGGGGCGTCGGCGCAATTTCAATTCGCCAGGCTGGGCAACGCGGGGGGGCGCGGCACCCCCTGGCGCCCCGAAAATCGCGTCGCGTTGCGCAAAGGGCCAATTCGTGCCCGCTGGCCAAGTGGGGCCCACTGGCCTCTGTGCCACCTCACTAAAGGCCAATTCGTGTCAGCTGCTGGCCAACTGGGGCCCACTGTCAGCTGCGCCACCTCGCAAGGGGCAAATTCGCGCCCACTGGACAAGTGGGGCCCACTAGCAACTGCGCCGCTTCACAAAGGGCAAATTCGTGCCCGCTGGCCAACTAGGGCCCACTGGCAAAGGTGTCACCTCGCAAAGGGCTAACTAGTGCCCGCTGTCCAACTTGGGCCCACTGGCAAGTGCACCGCTGCGCAAATGGCTAATCAATGCCTGCTGGCCAACTGGGGCCCACTGGCACCTATGCAACCTCGCACGGGGCAAATAATAGCCGCTGGCCAACTGGGGCCCACTGGCATCTGCGCCACTTCGCAAAGGGCTATTTGGTGCCCGCTGGCTAACTGGTGCCCACTGGCATTTGTGCCACTTCGCAAGAGGCCAATTAGCGCCCGCTGGCCAACATGGGCCCACTGGCAACGGCACCACCCCCTTGGGCTGGCTTGGTGGCCCACTGCACTCACTCACGCCTCCTGGCCGTCTAGGCCCATGGGCAACCATGCCACCGCAGCGGCCGACTGGACCTCCTGGCAACTGCGCTATCTACACCATCGTAGCAGCCGACGGGTCCGCGGGCAAAAATTTGCCGCATATTGCCCCCGCGCTTGCACTTGTGTTCGCGCGCCCCAGTTCACGCTGGACGCGCTCTCGCGCAGCGACTCACCGGCTCCCTCGCCGCGCGGCATTCCTGCAGCGTCGCACAGCGCCTCGGCCCCCCATGGTCGCGACACGCGCACATGGCGGCGGAGCGTCGCGTCTTCACGGACGCGCCGCAGGGGTGCCCCGACGCGAACGCTTTCGCGACCGACCTGCTCGCGATCCTCGACAAAGCAGAAGCGCGCGGGCGATCGCGCGCCGCCGCGGCAGCGTGGACTCGCGCACGGTGGCAGCGCGGGCCCGGTCTCCGCAAGCGCTTGCCTCCATCGCGATTGAAGAGCCGGAGCCCCGCCCAAATGCGGGAAAGCACCGCGCGTTTTCAAGGGCGGTCGAGGCGACGGCGACATCGGTTCGGCCGACGCCTCCCGCGCGCAATTCCGCGCGCAGGCTGCCAAGAAGCGACTCGGCCCCGGCGCCCTGGCGGCGAGCGCGAGCGGGGCTGGAGGGCGCCTGAAGGAGACTAATCTCCGGGAGCCCCCTGCGGCCCCGTGGCCGAGGCGGGGCGCGCGCGGCGCGGGGTCGGACGCGCCGTCTGCGCGGCGGCGTCGGGAGCGCGCGAGTCGACGCCTTGGCGGGCAAGGTCGTAAAATTGAAAAGGAGAGGAGCGGCCAACCCGTTCGCGCGCGCTGACCTGCGCGACTGGTCGCCACTGGCCGCGCCCCCTGCCGCCAGCGCCAACGCGCTGACATGAAACGACTTGCGCAGGGCCCACGATTCGCGCCCCGCGCGCGCCTGGGTCGGTTAGCTTCGCAACGCCGCCTCTCGGCTTCCAGCGAGTTACGCGATCGGCGCAGCCGCGACGGGCCAGCCGGCACACGCGTCCGCCATGGCCCACAAGCAAGTTTGCACGGGGGCGCCCCCTCGCGCGCCATCGGCGCCCCGCTGCCGCGCGCCGCCCCCCCCGCGAAGCGCGCCCTGGCGGCCGCAAGGCCCACTTGGGCATGCTCAACGACGAAGCCCGCCGCAAGGTTTGGCCCGGAACAGCCGCCGCTGGAGAGCCAGATTTCGCGGCGCGCGCCTTTCTCGCGCGCGGGGGGCGGCGCGCGGCTCGTCGCCCGCGCCGCCAGGTAAACGCGGCGGCACCTCTGCCGCGAACAGCCGGGCGGGGCCGAGATGGCGCACGACCGAGCCGAGAGGCCCGCCCGCGGCGACACGCCTGCGCGACTGTTCGCCGCGCGCGCCGACAGGGCCGCCGTGCCCGCGGACATGCCCCCGAAGGGCGCGCCCCCCCAGCGGGCCACGGGCTCGGACGGCACGTGGGCCGCCGCGGACAGCAACGGGGGCCGCGGCGAGACCTCGCGGGGGAAGCGCCCGGCGGAGAGCGGCTGGCGC